AACACTTTAAACGACTTCTTCTGAAGAACTGGTAGTTATAAAATCTTAATATTTGGCAGGTGGCTTCCTGGGAAAGAGCCAAACAAAGTTTGCGAATGAAAATGACCTTGACCTACTTTCAAGGTCACAGCGTTCAAATATGTCAAACAGTTCAAACAGCTTCTTCTGAAGAATTAAAAGGCATAAAATTATAATATTTGGCTGGTGACTTCCCGGGATAGAGCTCACCAAAGTTTGCAAATGAAAATGACCTCAACCTACTTTAGAGGTCACAGAGGTCAACAACATTTTAATGGATTTGTTCTTGAGAACTAAAAGGAATGGATTCATAAGATTTGGCTGGTAGCTTTTTGGAATAGAGCTAACCAATTTGAGAAGGAAAATGACATTGACCTACTTACAAGATCACAGGGGAAAATATGTCAAGCAACTTCTGAAGAAGAATCAAAAAGCATAGAATCTTATAATAATATTTTGCTGGTAGTTTCAACAGATGGAGCCAACAAAGTTTGCAAGGGAAATATTTTTAGTGCAATATAATATTTAATGAGAACACTTTGCTATGACTGCTTAAATATTCAGGTGAGCGATACAGGCCCTCTTGGGCCTCTTGTTGGGGTATGGATTTATGTAATTTTATTTTATTTAAAAAGTAATCAATGTGTGTGTTTGTGTGTGTACAATGTACATACTTGCCAGCTCTCCCTATTTAGGAGGGAGACTCCCGATTTTGGACCCTAAAATTGAGCATTTTTAACCAGTGAATTAGCTAACTATATCTATTTTCTAAGGCCTGGTGATTTCACCTGAAAAACCAGCTCAAACGGTGTCCATACACACATTATATTTATGCTTTTAATTCTGAGAACGCATAATCTCCCCAATGTAAAATTAAAACAGTTGGCAAGTATGTTATAGAAAATATTGAAATAAATAATTAACTTTTATTTCCAACATTTTTGAAACTGACAATATATATCCTACTATAAAATGAACGTTGATTATATCGATACAGCACACTAATAAACATAATGTATTTTTTTACCAAATACTGTGACCAAAAATATCTGATAATTTCTTTTTTTTCAACATAACTTTGCATAAATAAATGCTTGTCATTTCATCCGTTGTGTTACACATAACACATCGTAACACATCGGATGAAATGACAAGCATTTATTTATGCAAAGTTATTTTGAAAAAAAATATATCAGATTTTTTTTATGCACCAATAGGCAAAATAAGGCCAAAATGTCCTACAGCTTGCAGGACTCTGGTTTAGTTACAGCATAGATACAAAGCAAAAATAATCCCTGAAGTGTGCCTTCTTTCATCTTTTCATTTCACTGTTACAGGATGGTACCAGAGGAGCGTGTATTAGAGATAGAGATTGAACAAGGCATGAGGGATGAACAGGAATATCCTTTTGTAGCTGAAGGTAGGTCTACAGGATTCTACAGTTATCTCCCTTTGTTGCTGTAGGGTCACATTCACGTTTCCCGGTCGAAATGGTTCAGGTGGCATAGAAATATTCCACGAGAAACGAGTGCACTTGTACCAAGCTACAGAGCTAAAAAATGCAGTTGTGGAGAATAAATAAAAGCATTTTAAGAAGTATATGTCCTTCATCCACCCGTCCACTAAATTATATAATGTATCTTAAAATCTAGCAATAGTCAGCATTTCAATTGAATATTCCTGAGGTCAGCCTCGGTTCAGATCTGCACATGTCGTTTTCTTTTAGCTAGGTTCAACCGTTTCAACTAGTTGAACTGGATATCCGAAAGGGGCCTAGGTATACCTAAAACATTCTGAGGATATCAGTTATTGTAGGTGAAGGTATGCCTATATGGGCTACAGGATTCTAGAGTTATCACCATCTGTTGCTGATGGTATCTGTACATGACTCTGGGCTTATCATCCTTAGTAGCTGAGGGTAGGCCTTCGTGATTCAAGAGTTATCTCCCTTCATTGCTATAAGTAGGCCTTCAATTTTCATGAAATATTACTCTTTGTTCTCTTAAGGTAGTTCTACAGGGCCTACCTGATTCTGGAGTGATCACCCATTTATCTGAGGCCCCTTTTGCATATCTGGTTCAATCAGTTGAAATAGTTAAACCTGAAAGAAAACTACACCTGAACTTTCTGATTAAATTTTAAGTGCATCAATTTTGCAAGATATGATATGTTTGGTGTAAATTCCAGATATAACTGTATAACAGATCTAAATACTCATGATTCTGTTTCACTACTGAGTGGTACCTAGAGACCACGTGAGAGGTGCGTGCACATCTTCTTGCATTTAGCGATCGATCTTCTAACTTGGTCAGCGACGGACAATTCCTCTCTGACAAAAACTTCATATCTATCAAACAATTTGATATTTTATGAACTCTAAACATTCGTATACAGTGACAAAAGTTACACGTGACTAATTGTCAACTTATCTATAGACGTGCACAGCACGGTAGGCCGACAATAGACTGCAATCAGTCTTGCGCCACACACACTGATCACCGTCCACGGTGTGACCGCCATATTGGCAAGACTAGAACAAAGGAAATCCAGAGCAAACTAATGATGTTGAAGCAGGACGGCAAGAGTGGGAAGCACCAACGCATAGTTGGAGAATTCAACCTAGTTGGATAAATCTCCAAAACTATGGACCAATTGCCAGTGGCGAAAGTTAAAAAACCCTCGACCACTCACCCCACGACCACGGGTCAAATTCAAAATGGCGGAAAGCCCCAGCCAGCCTGTAGTACGGCCAATCCTACACCAGTAATGACTGGATCAGTGGATAGCAATCCACTGTTAAAATTTGCATCGGCCATTACCACATCGCTATCCACGATGTTGGAAAATCAGAAACAGATGCAGGTGGAATCACGGCAGTTCATTAATGGTTTAGTGGCCACCAAAATTGATGAGTGTCGAAACCGTGATCAATTCATGAGACAAAAGGGACTCCTGGGCCCTAACACTACAAGTGCGTCAAACTCATTAAGTGCGACGGATACACAAGCTATGGAATGTGACGAATCAGTCGACATTTGCCAACAAATTGACGACTTATTAGAGCCTAATGATACGGCCACGGACAATACAGATGATCAGGCCTGCGAGGTTCAGGACGATAACATTGACATAGATATTCTTGCAGAGCTGTCCGAGACATATGCCTATAATGATGCAGTTGGGTCGGACATGGACCCTAAACTTGCCACACTGGTGAACAATATCTTGTCACAAAATGTGACAGATGACAAAATCAAGCCAATGTTGGATAAATACAATCGGCCTGCCAACGTTGAACTATTGCAGTGTCAAAAAGTGAACCCCGAAATCTGGGGAAAATTGAGAACTTTGACTCGAAGTCGGGACATCAAACTGCAACGCAGTCAGCAGCGGTTAGTCAAAGGACTGATTCCGCTAGTTCAGGTTGTGGACACTCTTCTCAAACAGAAGAGTGAGAAGAAAGATATAGACATTTCGTCAGCAGTAAAACTGCTGTTTGAATCTTTTCACTTAATCACCAGTGCTACATAAGAGATCAGTCAACGTCGTCGGGAGTTTATCAAACCTGACTTAAACGGACAATACACACAACTGTGTTCACAACAGAACACCCCAACGGTTTCTAAATTATTCAAGCTGACACATTTAACAAAACATATATTAATTAACTTTTTAATCCTTGAGGAATGAGCTTCAGTTGTGTTGTTTGTTTTATTTCTACAGGGGAACCACACATAGATGGGGAACCAGGTGATCTGAGATTCAAGATCAGACAGGCAAAGTAAGTCACAAACAGCTGTGCTAGTCTTCAAAACAATGTAAAGTTGATTTTGTTTCCTCTTAATTTGTGTAAAGAAGATGATGTATCTCTGTAGAACAGAGACTTACAAACATGTTATCTAGATATGTTGATCCAGATTCCACTGGGTGAGATGGGGTAATCATCTCATCTCTGAATTCAAGATATTTTGACTAAATTTGTGTTAATTTTCTGGCACGCATTAAAAGTGCAAGTACAACTGAGGTGATAGCTGTCAAAAAATAAGTTGAAAAAGGAACTAGGAAAGGCTTAGACATTTCACAGTAGTCAAGGAAACCAAAACACAGGTTCATGTCTTTGTCTTTATGTACAGTGTTCAAATAATATCTAAATTGCAGACATCGACGATTTGAGAGAAAGGGAGATGACCTGTACACCAATGTCACCATCAATCTGGCTGATGCCCTCATAGGCTTTGAAATGGAAATTCCCCATTTAGATGGCCATTTGGTAAGCTATAGTGTAAAACAAGGATTTTATGTCTCAAATTCCCCATTTAGATGGCCATTTGGTAAGCTTTAGTGTAAAACAAGTATTTTATGTCACTCTAATTCTCCATTTAGATGGCCATTTGGTAAGCTATAGTGTAAAACAAGTATTTTATGTCACGCTAATTCCCCATTTAGATGGCCGTTTGGTAAGCTATAGTGTAAAACAAGTATTTTATGTCACTTTAATTCCCCATTTAGATGGCCATTTGGTAAGCTATAGTGTAAAACCAGGATTTGATGTCTCTCACTTTTAGATCATTTGTATTTAAAAGGTAACCATAATTGTTGAATTTTGGAATAATTGAAAAGTTTTCCCGAAAGAAGGAAACCTAATCTCCTTTAGTAAATAGATTTTTCACAATGAGTGACATTTGTTTATCAAATTAAATAGCTCAAGTTGTTTAACTTTCAAACTAAAAAGAAGACAGGGTTTACCAGATGTGTTTAAGAAAAAAAGAAAAAAATGTGAATTAGATAACTATCATTACCAAAGGTCACAAATTGTGGATTTTCTTTCTACCTCAACACATTAAACAGTGTTGTTTTGTAATTCTACTTTAAATAATAAATATAAATCAAAACAGAAAACAAAACCACTTTTGGAGGCATCTCTTTTGATGTCAATGATTCGCAAATGACGTCATATAATTGTTGACACTTTATTGTGACATCATATAATTGTTGACACTTTATTGTGACATCATATAATTGTTGACACTATCATATTTGAAGATCATGAGGTAAAAAATACCTCAGCATGGATTCTCTTATAACTAATAAAATTGCTTACTATGCATAACACATTAATGTGTTATCCATACAAAAAAATCAATGGTTAAACTTAAACACCCGGCCTGATCATATCACATACAAAGGTTATTACTGTAGAAAGTATTCTATAACTCACAGCCAAGTCCCCCTAGGCATCTTCATATGACTCAAGCTGCTGTTAGGATATAAAATTCTGAAAAAAATGTTGATTCTCGCAAAAATCAAGAGATTATGTAGATCCTGACCTGTCTTTTCATGCCATGTTGATAGCCATTGTCATTGACGTAGATCCTGACCTGGCCTTTCATGCCATGTTGATAGCCATTGTTATTGATGTAGATCCTTACCTGTCCTTTCATGCCATGTTGATAGTCATTGTCATTGACTTAGATCCTGACCTGTCCTTTCATGCCATGTTGACAGCCATTGTCATTGACGTAGATCCTGACCTGTCGCCATGTTGATAGCCATTGTCATTGACGTAGATCCTGACCTGTCCTTTCATGCCATGTTGATAGTCATTGTCATTGACTTAGATCCTGACCTGTCCTTTCATGCCATGTTGACAGCCATTGTCATTGATTTAGATCCTTACCTGTCCTTTCATGCCATGTTAACAGCCATTGTCATTGATGTAGATCCTGAACTGTCCTTTCATGCCATGTTGACAGCCATTGTCATTGATGTAGATCCTTGCCTGTCCTTTCATGCCATGTTGACAGCTATTGTCATTGATGTAGATCCTTACCTGTCCCTTCATGCCATGTTGACAGCCATTGTCATTGATGTAGATCCTTTCCGGTCCTTTCATGCCATGTTGACAGCCATTGTCATTGATGTAGATCCTGACCTGTCCTTTCATGCCATGTTGATAGTCATTGTCATTGACTTAGATCCTGACCTGTCCTTTCATGCCATGTTGATAGCCATTGTCACTAACGTAGATCCTGACCTGTCTTTTCATGCCATGTTGATGGCCATTGTCATTGACGTAGATCCTGACCTGTCCTTTCATGCCATGTTGATGGCCATTGTCATTGACGTAGATCCTGACCTTTCTTTTCATGCCATGTTGATAGCCATTGTCATTGATGTAGATCCTGAACTGTCCTTTCATTCCATGTTGATAGCCATTGTCATTGACGTATATCCTTACCTGTCCTTTCATGCCATGTTGACAGCCATGGTCATTGATGTAGATCCTGAACTGTCCTTTCATGCCATGTTGATAGCCATTGTCATTGATGTAGATCATGACCTGTCCTTTCATGCCATGTTGATATTCATTGTCATTGACGTAGATCCTGAACTGTCCTTTCATGCCATGTTGACAGCCATTGTCATTGATGTAGATCCTGAACTGTCCTTTCATGCCATGTTGATAGCCATTGTCATTGACGTAGACCTGTCCTTTCATGCCATGTTGATAGCCATTGTCATTGATGTAGATCTTTACCTGTCCTTTCATGCCATGTTGATAGCCATTGTCATTGACGTAGATCCTGATCTGTCCTTTCATGCCATGTTGATGGTCATTGTCATTGATGTAGATCCTTACCTGTCCTTTCATGCCATGTTGATGGTCATCGTCATTGATGTAGATCCTTACCTGTCCTTTGATGCCATGTTGATAGCCGTTGTCATTGATGTAGATCCTTACCTATCCTTTCATGCCATGTTGATAGCCATTGCCATTGATGTAGATCCTGACCTGTCCTTTCATGCCATGTTGATTGTCATTGTCATTGATGTAGATCATGACCTGTCCTTTCATGCCATGTTGACCGCCATTGTCATTGACGTAGATCCTGACCTGTCCTTTCATGCCATGTTGATAGCCATTGTCATTGATGTAGATCCTGACCGGTCCTTTCATGCTATGTTGATAGCCATTGTCATTGATGTAGATCCTTACCTGTCCTTTCATGCCATGTTGATAGCCATTGTCATTGACCTAGACCTGTCCTTTCATGCCATGTTGATAGCCATTGTCATTGATGTAGATCCTTACCTGTCCTTTCATGCCATGTTGATAGCCATTGTCATTGTGCTGGTTTAGGTGCACCTAGTCCGTGACAAAATCACTTGGCCTGGTGCTAGGATGAGGAAATCTGGAGAAGGGATGCCAAACTATGAAAACAATAATGTAAAAGGAGCATTATTCATCACCTTTGATATAGATTTCCCTAAGGGCACCCTTACCAAAGAGGACCAGGATCGTAAGTATAAACAAAACGGAATTTGTGTTACATTACAAAAAAGCAACTTAAGTCATTCTTGGTTTAATGTTATATTTTGTAGACAATTTTACATTGATTTTAATTGAGCTAAAATAAAACTGTCTTGCATATCAAATTGTATAAGAGATGGAAATTGATTTCGAAACAAATGACTGATTTACAATTTGAAAATTAAATGTTGATATGACGTATTTAAAACTTAGCATGGAGATAAGATGCAACTTCGAAAATGAAAAGTAGAATCAAATTCTATTTTTTGGTATTTTTCTTTTAAAAGTTTGATTTATAGCTCTATATGTTTTTGTCTTATTGAGTTCAAATATGTCATATGCTGTTTAAAAAGTGTCATATGCTGTTTAAAAAGTGTCATATGCTGTTTAAAAAGTATAGCTTACTGTAATACACTTTTTTTTTATTTCAGAAATAAGAGAGATTTTGAAACAGGAACCAAAGAAAGTTATTTATAATGGACTTCAAGCAAATTTATTTGCATAACAAACAACATTTTAGGGATATAATTAAAACATGGGATCTCAAAAAGTTTTTCTTTTAAAAAGATTTCATCATGTTGTTTAAAGAATTGTCATGTTAGTAGCTTAATGAGGTATGTGAGGAAAACCTGTCATAATTCATTGTTTATATTAAGGATTAAGGACTCTATCGTACGTGTATCATGTACTTGGTTATCAGAAGAGTTCCAGAAAATTGTAATTGCCTAAGGGCGATAACTCTTACTTTGTTGTAAGGTAGCATGTAAACGTAAATACTTGCTGTATACTGTGAACATTAAAAACCCTGTCATCATGTTTTATAAATGATCATCTGATTCACTGATTCACAACAAATTTAGATGGATAGATAAAAAAAGCATGCATGCATTCACAACACTCAGGAATTTTTTATTTATTAGTTAATGTATCAAAATGAATTTATATTATCTGACCTGTGCAGTTACTGTACAATGGGAAATTTTTGCCCAGTCAAACTGTTCCTTTCACAAAAAAATCCATATTTTCATGCCCAGTGCTAATTTTGCCCTCAAATGCAATTACCATAACACGTTACCAAAACACGTTACCATAACGCGGTGTTAGTTGTGAACATTTGTTTGCTCTCTGCATAAAATCATTCTTATTATTGAAGTAGAAAAGATGAAAATTTCCTGGGCCGTTTTCGTGTAAACAGTCAAACCGGTCGGACCACAGTTGTTTGTTTATTAAATAAGGTCGGACCTAGTAATTTGATGCTGCTTTCATACGAGCCTTGGCAAAGCATTGCAAGGCCTGCAGAATACCCGAAATTGTTACATTTATAAACGGACAAACCGGTTGTTCCGCATAAAGGAAAAGGCCCCTGGTATACAGTTGTTAAGGGAAGTAACTCTTAACACTACTGTAAGGTAACGTGAATCCTCAAGTACCTGCTGCATCCTGTGAAACTTTGATGTAAAATGTTTTGTTGTGTAATATTCCAATTACTGTGAAACCTTGTGATGTAAGAATGATGAAAAACAATTTAAAGAAGCTTTTTGAGAAATCACATTGACATACTCTGAAAAAGCCATCAAGTCATCGATAAAACATTGACCTAAATTGAAGATACCAGTTACTGTACAATACAACATTATAACAAGTACATTTTACTATTGACTCAATATCAAATCCATTGTGAAATATGACCATCTAAGTATATCTGTAGATTTCATTGCTACATTGAAATAATATTGATTTAAAACAATTAGTGCCGTTTACCTGAAATTGTCACAAGTTCTATATTTCTGGTAACTGTACTGTAGACATGCTTACTTTGACCCTTCATACTTGTCAATACTGCTGATTCCTCAACCACATATTGGACTTTTGAGATGGAAAGAATTCCGTGCATATTGCTTTTTGCTTCAATCAATTAGTTCATGACAGAGAGCAGTTAAAACTATTGCTTTTTGCATTATTACTTTGTCAAAAAAGGGTAGATTTTTGACCTCAATAGATTTCAGGTTGGCAAGTATGACCATTTAGAACAAAATGACAGCCCATTTATGAAGGTAATATGCAAGTATTTATGCAAAGGTCTAAATATACTGGTATTCAAAATAATCTCTGACAGGGCCATTTTATTCCGATTATAAATGTGTATTTACAGTATCAATTGTATTTACATAATAACTGTTGTATGTGATACAAATACTGAGACAAGGAATGAAGTACTGCTACATTTAGATAGTGTGTAATAAGAAATGCATTCTCCAATACCTTTTTTTCTCAAAATATTTTATTTCATATCTGTGTGATGCACAAAGGTCATCTTAGTTAATTAAACAAATTTCTTATAAAACTTAAACCAAAGATGAAATGTTTCATTTTTTCCCCAAAGTTTTAGTGGAATGCAAACTTAATTAATTTCCCCATAAAATCAATTAAAAATATAATTTTCAGCATTTTTGCCCTCAAGCCCATTTTCGTCTCTGTGAAATCGTATGAAAGTAATTTATAGAAACTACAATAGGGTTTACTTAGTATAGACTTTCAATGTGTGATAGGGAGTGATTTTAATGTATGGGTGTACACACAGGGTTATGTTTCATTAAAGAAACAAAAACGAATAAAAACACCCTTATACACTATTACTGTCAATGATATACATAATGTTAAGGAGTAGTTGGATTTCTGTCATTTATTTAGTTTTTAATGTGCCAGATCCCTGTGGGTATACATGGACAATGTGGGAATTCTAGGGTTAGTATTGTGTTAATGTGCGGGTTCATTCGTTGTAACATTGCTGTGTAATGTATTCACTTGTGAAAGCTACCATATATGAGAACTATATGAAGATGTTATTTGTACCTTAATAGTGAAAGATACTCGTGCATGATAATCATCAGAAGATCTATGAATCCTGGAAGTGTTGGTTGTGTGTGTGTGAAAAAAATGGCATTTTTTGTTCATGATGGTGATGATATCATGCAAATTGGTGGGGATGGAGTTGTGGACAAGGGAGGATTGGTTAGGCTGGAGAGGGGAGTGAAAACCAGAGAGTGTAGAGATACGTTGAATACATGCTTATTGTTTTGTAAACCAGTTTTATTGTCACGTTTTTCAACATTTGTGGTGTAACAGTAACAGAGAGATTTTCTAAGCGAATTTAGTTTCAGTTTTAGGTTTTTAACAATGTTTTGCATGTAATTTTCTACACAAATCCCTTAAAAATCACTGTGAAACTAAAGCTCTGCTGCTTACAGTAGTGGCAGGGATAAGTACCACAAGATGTTGTCAGAGAGTCTGACAGGTTTTACATTTCCAGCGAGGAAAATATCTAATTTTTCGATTGTTTGTTAACTAGTGTTCATTGCATTGATTTGCAGAGTTGATAACAGGATTATCACTCTCTCCTGTGTATATGTATACCGGGTATCAAGCATTCTGCTTGATTGTATATATGACTTGTCTTGTGTGACAAGAATGTATCTTAATGACGCTATCAAGTTCTTTAACTGACTTCAAATACGTGAAAATGATAACATGCCATTTCATTCTTCAACTATAATTCATTTATGGGAGAAGGCTTGTACAGGCTATGGCTGTTGTTTTGATCCATTTGGTTTGTTATGATAAAATATTTTGTATTGAATTGAATAATTGAATTGAACAAATAATTCATTGTAAGGGCTTAGTGAAAGGGTTATAAACGACTCAGAAAAGTGCTAATGTACTACAGAGCATGGCAAATATTGGTAGGATTCCCTACCCCACAGTGCATATCTGTGCCATGTTCGAGGTGTAGCAAGTCACTGTGTCTACTCATAGACTTGTCACTGGTAATATATTACAAAAACCTCATTAGCTTAACTACATATTTACACAAAACTTTCGTCTGGTATATCATGTTTTCAAAATTAATGAAATTTATAACTAAAACTACATGTATAATATACTATAGTGATTTAAATGATCACATGCCAACATTATTCCTCTCATATAATGCACACAAATACGCTTCGAATAATGCATAAACAATTAAAAATGGAAATTTTAAAATTTTACTTGGGATACTATACAACTTTACTTAGCTTACGATAACATTTTATTTAGCTTACCTGAAAGCTGTGACATATTTAATAACTGGACCCTGGAAAACACAATTATCCTCAAACTATTGGTTGAGCAGCATTGGAGAATTTCTGATAACTAATTGGATTATGTTGATACACTTTTGTGAAGTAGATCAATAGTTAATTATGAATGAAAGATTATTTTGTTTTCATGAGTGCTTTGGGGGAAATGTCGCTGTATAAAATGACTTTTGTACTCTCATGTTGTCCTAATGATTTCATTAAAAAACACTTCAATATTTTTCCTATAATAATTGTTTGGTATTATTTCCATTCTTGCTTGGATGTCCAGCCTAGAGTATCCTTAGGCAAAGTGGACCCAATTTTGCATAAACCAATGGGGTGCCCCCCTCTAAGGGGCAGAGAGGCGGGGTCCGAGAGAGATAATTGAGATGAGTCTGTAACATACTTATCCTTCTGTATGAATAGAGGAATTTAATTCCAGGTTGGGTTCATCACTTTAGCGTTTTACGGACCGTCGCTGATAAGTCTTCATATTTGTATGAAGATGCCTTTAATTTAGGCCTACATCAATTGCTTTATTAGAATAAAACCTGTTTTACCCCTTACAAGATATTGGGAGCAATACATACTAGGCCCTAGAGTTCGTTTGTTCTGACAGAAGTGAATGGGGTGTAGTTGACTGAATACATCTCTAATGGTCAGGTAGTTTTACGATAGTGCTTTTCACCAAAGAAAATGAAATACATTAACTGTCATTTCAGAAAACTCTTTCTTCATTTTGCAAATGATCTCACATTTTGTATTACCAAATAAAGTTTCATTAGATGCCCTATGCAATAGGGATATTCTTTCATATCTTCATAACAAATTATATCAACTGCTATAAATCAATATACACCGACTGACCCACCCAACTTTTGTAAAACCTGGAGGGATTTTAACCTAATTTGGTTAAGAGCATCCTTGGGCAAACGGGAGTAAACTATGTAAACTGTAGTGGAGCCCCCTTAGGGGCAGAGGGACAGGACCTATTACGGGGGATAAAGGGATAATTGTTTGATATGCTCCTTCTTTATGAATGGAGGGATTTTAATCAGGTTATGTGGAGAGCATCTTTTGGCAAAAGAGACTCGGAGTGTGTCGTTTCCCTTTGGACGGAAGGGCAGGCCCAAAAGAGGAATTAGTGTGAATCTTTAAAATCATTCCTATTTTATATGAATGGAAGATTTTAACTAAATTCCGGCTATAAAATAGGGGACTTAAACATTGTTTTGGTAAACAGAGGGTTTGGCTGTCTATGGCAGAAAGGCAGTGCCCAAAAGTGAAATTCTGGTTAAATCGTAAAAAAATCCTCTGCACGATTTTAGGGATTCTACCTAATTTGGTCAAGAGCATCTTTGTGCAATGAGATTTAATGTTGTACAAATAGAGGATGTGGTCCCCTTAGATGAAAGCTGTATGGCCCAATATGGGAAATAGGGGTAAATGAAGGCTCCACCGGTTAATACCACATTAAATCCCATAGGGCCAAGACACTATATATCCTTTTTAGCTCACTTGGCCATTAATACCTGAATGTTACTCTCCAAATATCATCACCTTTGACCTTTTGGTCATTCGGAAGAAGTCGTTTAAAGATGTTAACATATTTACCTCTGTAACCTTGAGTATGTTTGAAGGTAATTCATTTGAACAAACTTTGTAGCCCTTTATCCCAGTATGCTTCTGGCAAAATAGCATCGCCCCATGCCTTCTGGTTATTCAGAGGAAGTCGTTTAAAGTTTTAGGGGTATATTTGATCCCTGTGACCTTGAATATGGATGAAGGTCATTCATTTGAGTAAGCTTGGTAGCCTTCATGCCTGCATGTTACTCTCCAAATATCATCACATTTGACCTTCTTGTTATTTATAAGAAGTCGTTTACAGTTTTTGACATATTTGACCAATGTAACCTTCAATAGTTTAAAGGTAGTTTATTTGAACAAACTCGGAAGCCCTGCATCCATGTATGCTTCTGGCCAAATATCATCTTCGTAGGTCTTTAGGTTATTCAGAAGAAGTAATGTAAGATTCAACTAATTTGACCACTGTGACCTTGAGTATGGGTGAAGGTCATTCATTTGAATAAACTTCACAATATGTTTCTGGTAAAATAGCATTACCCTAGGCCTTTTGATTATTCAGAAGAAGTCGATTAAATGCTTTGTTGATTCCTGTGACCTTGAATGTGGGCGAAGGTTATTCATTTGCAAAAAAGTGTGTAGCCCTTCATCTCAGCATACTACTGGCCAAATATCACCGCCGTTACTTTTGGTTGGACAGAAGAAGTCGTTTAAAGATTTCAACATATTTGATCCCTGTAACCTTGAATATGTTTGAAGGTAATTCACTTGAACAAACTTGGTAGTCCTTTATCCCAGTATGCTTCTGGCAAAATATCATCACCCCAATCCTTCTGGTTATTCAGAAGAAGTCCTTTATTTGTTTTGACATATTTGGCCCCTGTGACCTTGATTATGGCTGAAGGTCATTCATTTGAATGAATTTGCTAGTTCTTCATGCTTGCATGCTACTCTCCAAGTATCGTCACTTTTGACATTTTGGTTATCCAAAAGATGTTTAAAGTTAATTCATTTGAACAAAGTTGGTAGCCCTTTAATCCATTATGCTTTTGGCAAACACTCTAGGCTTTCTGGTTTTTCAGTAGAAGTCGTTTAATCTTTTTTTTACATATTTGATCGCTGTGACCTTGAATATGGATGAAGGTAATTTATTTGAACAAACTTGGTAGTCCTTCATCCTTGTATGCCTCTGGCCAATTATCATCACCCTAGGTTTTTAGGCTATTCAGAAGAAGTCATTTGAATTTCAACTTAATTGACCACTGTGACCTTGAGTATGGGTGAACAAACTTGGAAGCCCTTTAATTTTTTAAAGGTAATTTTTAGACAATTGACCCGTGTGGCCTTGAATATGGGCAAAGGTCATTTATTTAAACAAACTAGGTAGCCCTTCATTCCAGGTGAACGCAATGTAACAATAAGTGTTTTTAATAAAATATTCATGACATGCTATGCTCTTTAATCGGTCTTCCTGTTTATCTTAAACATGTTAAATTACGCAATATAAGAATGACCTTATAGGAAACAAACAAAGACAACCCAGTCTTTGTTTCTCTGCATTAGATCCAGTTATTTTGCCGCTTTTACTTCCCAGTCTCTCTTACCGCAGTTCAATATCTATAGTATACTTTTAGCTCACCTGGTCCGAAGGAGGGATTTTATCCAAATTTGGTCTGGAGCATCATTGGGCAAAGGGGATTCAATTTTGTATAAATTGTGGGTGTTGCCTCCCTGGGGTCAGAGGGGTAAGACCTAATAGGGGAATAAAGAGGTAAAACCTTTACAATCCTTCTTCTTCCAAAGGAATTTCATCCAAGCTTTTGTATCAACAGAAGGTGTGGCTTCTCTTGGTGCAGAGTTGGAGGGACCAAAAGGGGATTTTGAGGTTTAAATCTTTACATTCCCCTTCTTCTATACCATAGGAGGAATTTATGTAGTGAGAATAATTTCCCATGGCTGCGTTATTATCCAGGTGAGCGGTATAGGCCCTCTGGGCTTCTTGCTTATTAATTTACACTAAGCATTGTTTAATGTTAATAATATGCATTGACAAGCTTAAGATTGTCACAAAAAAGAGAGTCACAGGCTCAATTCTATTAAAAATAATTTAAACAAATTCTTCTGAATAACTTAAAGGTCTATGATGATGATATATGGTCAGTAGTATGCTGGGATGGAAGGCAAATGAAATGGTTCAAATGAATGACATTCACATATATTCAAGGTCACAGGAGGCCAAAAATTGAAATGTTTCAATATTGTCTTTTGAATAACCAAAATAATAAGGGTGATGATATATTGCCAGAAACAAGCTGGGCTGAACATCTACCAAATTAGTTCAAATTAATGGCCTGACTAATATTCAAGGTGACATGGGTCAAATGTGTTTAAAGCCTTTAAACGACTTCCTTTAAATAACCAAGAAGCCTATGTTGTTGATATAAACATGCTGGGATGGAGCGCTACCAAGTGTGTTCAACTGAATGGCATTGGCCTATATTAAAGGTCAAAGGGGTCGGTTGTCTTAAAAACATCGTGAAAAATCGTTTCTTCTGAATCATCAAGAGACTTAGGTTGATGTTATTCTGCCAGCAACGTGCTGGAAAGAAGGTCTACTAATTATGTTCAAATGGATGTTTGACCTGTAATCAGGGTTACAGAGGTAAAAAATGTTTAAAATCTATAAACGCATTCTGCTGAATAACCAAGAAGGCTCTGGTGTTGATATTTGGCCAGCAACATACAGGGATAAAGGGCTTCGAAATTTGCAAACTAATGACCTTCACACATATTCAAGGTCACAAAAATCTTTTGTACAAATAACCTTCAAACATTTTCTTCTGAATAACCAAAAGGACCAGGATTATGATATTTGGCTAGTAAGATGCTGTGTTAAAGAGTTACCAAGTTGTTTCAATGAGAGACATTCATCCATGATCAAGGGCACGGGGGTCAACAATCTTTAAAATCTTTAAACAACTTCCTTGGAATGAACAAATAAACCATAGTGATATTGTTTGGCAAGTAGCATTCAGGGATGAACGGGTAATAAGTTTGTTCAAATGAATAAACTTTATCCATATTCAAGGTCACAGGGGTCCAATATACTTTAAACAACCTATCCTGAATTACCAAATAGTATAGGTTGGTATTATTTTGCCAGTAGCACGCTCAGATGAAAAACTATCAAGGTTTATTTTTATGCGACTGACATTTATCAATTTTTAAGGGCATATTTGGTAAAATGTGTATAAACCTTAAAATGGCTAAATCTCAATAAACGAAAGTTTAGGGTGGTTGTAGTTGGCAAGTTGCATGCTTAGATTAAAGGGTTATGTGGATTGTTCAACTTAATGACCTTGTTCGACTTTCAACGTCACAGGGGTCTAACGTGTTTAAATGTTTTAACAGATTCTGTTGAATGACTTGTAGTCATAAATACTGATTTATTGCCTGTAGCTTTATTTTAGACCCCTTTCAAGGTTAGAAGAGGGATATTAATATCAGGTGAGTAATGCAGGCCCATTGGGCCTCTTGTGTTAGTAATATATATTGGAACAAGCCAACAGTTTTCAGGTAGTCAAGAAATGAGGAGATATTATGTACAAATGAATGTATATACGTTTAAGAAAAAAGCTTTAAGACTTGTTATGATAGCAATCTTCTGGTGTTAGTTCCAGGTGAATGCATTATAATAATGAGTTTTATTTAAATTATTCGTGACATGCTATGGAGTGTGATTTGGCTTCCTGTCTACTTAAAAACATGTGAGATTACGCAATATATAACTGACCTTGTAGGAGACGGGTAAACAAAACCTCGTCATGAGGCCTTTCTGTATAACTAGGACACCACCCAGCAATATAGGTTTGATGGTGGAATTTGTTTTCTCTGCATTTACTCTAGTCATTTTGCCACTGTTACAACGCAAGCATTCTAAACCGCAGTTTGATATGTATAGAATAAAGTTAAAAGTCACCAGCTTACTTCAAGTACACCACATATGTAAATAGTAATAGTCTATTTTGTACTATTTTACAGTAAAGAATTTTATATGTTAATAATATTAAGTGACAAAATTGTCACGGAAAATATATTAATATATGGAAATCCTGTTGGTTCCTTGTTAACATTCAGAGTGGTGTCTATTCATACTAGGTCATGAAGTGTTCCCTTGTTCAGTTCCAAATAGATAGAAATGAATTGGGTTGTAGTTGTTGATTACGTGTATAATGGTCTAGTCACTTGTCGGTTGTGCTTTCAGAGACAGTGACATGGCATATTCTTGTGTATGCGCTACACCTGATGTGTTTTTATCATGTTAATTTGCAGGTAGCTCCCCTACCTACGTGGTGTTTGTTGCGGGCTCATTGGCAGGTAGCTTCCTATCCCCGCATGTTGGAATTATCGGGTCATTTGCATAAAGCTCCAGTACCTACACCCGGCGTTAGTCTGGTTTATTCAGAGGTAGCGGTGGGCTGTGACATGATGGCTCCGTACTCATGCTTACTACTGGTAATCTTGACCGGCCTTTATACTTACACTCTCGGTAAGTATTTTAATGCATTTATGTGACTATCGTACCATTTGTTAAGTCAAAATTACAGGTGTCACCTATGCTGATTATTTATTGATAATTTGTGTCTTATGGGTCTCAATTCTTCCTCCGTTTTTATGCATGATATATTTTGTGAAGGTCTTGCTTTATCATTTATAATCATAAATATTCTATTATATATAATAAGTTGTAAAGTAATGTTATATGTGTTTTATAGGCATCTTTCCTTTCTCTTTTCTTTTCTATTTTGTTTGGCGTTCTTCATCTAGAATCTATATTCTTAGGTAGGTTTCCCTTACTTCATATTTCTAGTAATTAGTTTACGTAACAAGCTGGTTGACACTGCTCTGCTGGTTGACACTGCTGGTTGACACTACCGGTGCAATACTCATTTGTTATCTCTGATTCGTTTTATTTCACCTTAAATACATCCTCCATCAAGAGCCAGGGTCAAAGTCAGAGATCCACTTTGTCTTTGGCCTTTGGATCCAAATGACCCTGACCTTTAACCCAGTGACCCTGATCTTTGGTCAGTTAACTTATTCTTTAATTCCGACCAACTTCATAATATCATAATAAAATGTTCATCAGTGAAAAATACAAAACTTGAACTTAACCTTGAACCTTTGGACCCCGTAACCTGGACCTTAGGTCAGTTGACTCCGTGTTAAGTTCTGAACAATTTTGCTTCATAATAACATTATAAAAATGTTCATTCAGTGACCTCGACGTAAAGTCAGTTGATCCATTGTTAAATTCCGACCAACTTTGTTTCAAAATGTCATAACAAAATGTTCATCAGGGAAAAGAAACAAAATTTAACCTGGACCTTTGACCCAATGACCTTGACCAGTGGTAAGTTGACTCCTTGTTTAATTCTGAACAATATTGCTTCAGTGTGTTATAACAAAATGTTCATCAGTGAAAAGATAACAAAATTGACCTTGACCTTTGACCCAGTGATCTTGACATTTTGTCAGCTCACTCTTTGTTTAATTCCTATCAACTTTGCTTCATAATGTCATAAAATGCTCATTAATGAAATTTGACCTTGATCTCTGACCCGAAGACCTTGACCTTTGGTCAGTTGACTTCTTGTTTAATTCTGATAACTTTTGATTCATAAATAAATTCTCTGTTGTTAAAAGAAAAATATTATCTGTAAACAGAATAGATTATATTTTGTTAACAGAAAAAATGTATCTGTTAACAAAATAAATGATTTGTTATTAACAGAGTAAATTATGTGTTGTTTACAGAATAAATTATCTTTTGTTAACAGAATTAATAATCTGTTTTTAACACAATAAATTATTTGTTGTTAACATAATACATTATCTGTTGTTTACAGAATAAATTATCTGTCGTTTACTGAATAATTTGTCCGTTGTTTACAGAATAAATTATCTGTTGTTTACAGAATAAATTATCTGTTGTATACAAAATAATTATCTGTTGTTAACAGAATAAATTATCTGTTGTCAACAGAATTACTTATCTGTTGTCAACATAATTACTTATCTGTCGTTAACAGAATAAATTATATGTCATTATCAGAATAAATGATCTGTTGTTCACAGAATAAATTATATGTTGTTGGCAGAATGAATAATATGTTAACAGAATAAATTATATGTTTCTAACAGAATAAATTATCCGTTGTTAACAAAAAAAAATCTGTTGTTAACAGAATAAATTATATGTTATTAACAGAACAAATGAACTGCTGTTAACAGAATAAATGTTCTGTTGTAGTCAACAGCTGTAAATGGTAATGTTATGAGAAGTTTTATAGGCGCATTTCCGTTTATTTCTGTATTCTACAAATGTAACGGAACACTTGAGACCTTGATTTTTAATTTTCAATTCCAATGATTAGTCCGAAATTGACAGGTACTTCCTTTATTTGTAGTTAATTCTGTAGTTATTGTTTGTAGTTATTTTATAGTAATTATATTGAATGGAAACAGCATAAATACTTAAAATAAAAAAAATAAGACACACTAAATAGGTAGATGCAGCGCGTAAAACAAATGTATTGCACACCATGACTATTTTGTCCTATAAGGAATCATCTGTTGTACTAAAAGTTCAAAGAATGAAATATACTCAGATCTTAAGTGTTCCCAAACATGTGTAAACATAGCAAACGGGTAAAGATGCAACTAAACTGTTAAAACGTTATTAATCTGCAAACTGTGGCAACCATAACTTACTTATAAACAAAGCTGTTCTTGTTATCAACGTCAGAAAGTATCAAACGATGAAACAAAACATTTTAAAAAGTCAAATTGGAGGAGAATTGGTCAAGAGCTCTTTGGACACGTCCCCAAGTCTAATGACTTTGGCGTGTTTATAATGGTGTCGATATCGTCGATAATTAGTCAGTGTTGGTTATTTTCTATCCATGCATACAACGGCTAGTTTGCTGCACGAGGTAACTATTTGGTAGATTTTTATACTTTTGTTGTTGTTAAATTTAGCAATTGAATACGTCACCTAGTTTGCTGCCGGTACTTTTTGTTATTTACAGTATTAACTACATGTCAATATTACTACATATAGCCACGGCCAAGGGTAAGCTCTGAATTAGATATAGCTAAATATACACAGTCAATCTAAACCCAATTGTTGAGTATATAGTTAAAGTTTTCTGCATGCCTGCTATAACTATAACTTGCGTGATATGTTATTTAAATGACCTAAGGTTAGAAGCTGTCTTTACCTTAACAGATTTATCAATAGAAATGTTCCAGTGATATCGTCCCTTCCAAGCTAAAAACGTACCACGTGTCAAAGTGAAGGTCTTTTGCATTTTTAAGATATAAATAATTTTGCGATTGGATTATATTAGTATCGATAGACATTATACTGTTTTGAACAGCTCAGACAACAACAGCACCATTTGCCGTCCGCTTGGTCAACGGTGTAACTAACAGTTCCGGCCGTGTGGAGGTCTTCCATGCCAGAGAATGGGGTACCGTGTGTGATGATATCTGGGGAAATGATGACGCACTGGTTGTGTGCAGAATGATCGGATATAGGTGAGTGCTGGTTACATCCTGGTTTATATATGGAAAAAAGATATTAAAGACGTGTTACTGATGAAGGTGAGTTACTGGTGCAGTTGACTTACTGATATGGTGAGATACTGATATAGGTGAGATACTGATACAGGTGAGATACTGATATGGTGAGATACTGATACAGGTGAGATACTGATATGGTGAGATACTAATATGGTGAGATACTGATATAGGTAAGATACTGATACATGTACTAGTGAGTAACTGATACAGGTGAGATACTGATACAAGTGAATTACTGATATAGGTGAGGTATTAATGCAGTTGAGATACTGATATATGTGAGATTTGAATACATGTGATTAGTAATATAGGCGAGATATTGAAACCGGTGGGATATTGATAGAGATGAAAGTCTGATACATTGTACTTATTTTTTTATCCGTTTTTTGATCTCTGAAATAATAATAAATCTTTTGATGAATGTTGGTTTCCATATATAAAACACATATATTATTGAGCCACTTTGAGGTACAGTGCATTTTAGTAACAAAAAATATTAGTTTTATTCTAATTTAACCTGTAATTAACTTTTTCAAAACTCATGAACTATAGTACGTAACGTAAAACAATTTTGTGACGTCCTTATTGATATGATACACGAGTCTGATCCATACTATAAAACTATCAAGTATTAACCATCGTATGACATTGCCATTATATAAACCAACCGCATTCGGATGACATTGCTATATGCTATAAATATCATGAATCGATTGTTGACGTCATCATTTTTATGTTGTTTTATTTGTAACGTTGGTTACTACTGACCTTCCTAGATAGATTGCGGGTCTATTTATTAAGTAAGCATATACGATATATACATTGTTCGAATTAAATACTTAATAGAAAAAAATGTAGTTGAAATGTCTATGAGATAAACAGATACCGAAAATGGTAAAAATAAGTATTAAACTGCTTTACGTTGACATTCATCGGCAATATGAATGCCGAACTTAACAAAGGTAAATCCAGCGTGAAGCGTACTCCATTGAATTTGCCTTTGTCCAGCCAACGCTTGCCATTTTAATGAAAGCGGAATAGATTTAACAGAAAATCTTAGACCGTTACAAAAGTAATATACAAAAGATCATAAATCCAAATACGAAATTGTATTACTTTCCAGCGAAAGATTAGTCATCGCCAGCATTTTACTTTCATTGTCTTAAGCGGTCTTACCACTGATTGATAAGCGACCCGATGCTGGGCCCTTCCTCTGCCGGCCTGACGTCATACTTTTTGTAACATGTGTTTATGTTCGTTGTGTTACATAAAGACTTTATTATAAGAACACGGTGTTATTCCTTATTGACGTGGTGGCAGCGTATTATCCATGCCTAGAAGATTATGAGAAGTTCTTTTTACACAATCAATAATATTCTATGTGTGAAGTTTCGATGACTAGTACGATATGTACACTGTTAGTAAGCGTATGCACACAAAGGTGTAAAATGTTTTGAGTTGTCCACAAAATCGAGTCGATTCGGCTACGCTGTAAGCGTATGTACAATAGTTGTTGCATATGTTCCTAAATGACTAGATTCGGCAACGCTTTGTTGCTTCCTACCCGAACGTGACAGAAAATACTTAAGTCGCTCGCGTCTTGTGACCGAGGGTGATGCCGAATTATGTCAAGAGGAATAAAATGAGGTAATATACTTTGAGTTCGACAGCGTCGCTCAGTCAGTGCGCGTAGACGAGCCTGTCGCCCACCGTGTAACCATCGTGCAATATCCGGTTCTCAGTAAGTTTTTCAATGAACACCCTGTAAAGCTAACATTGGACACCGGCGCTACATCCAACATGGTCCGGATATCCGCCGCCCGTATGTTTGGTTTTTCAATTACCCCAGAGTACCAGGTCGCTCTTCAGGCAAACTCAGGTGTTACTCCCATAGATGTCGTGGGAGAAGTGTACCGGTCTATCACTCGAGGATAACTTATCTACGACTCGATGCTCTAGTTGTGCGACAGTTAGACGTCGATATTCTGGCTGAGAACCCGTTTATTTCCCGGGATGGCATTGGTATTCGCCGAGCGAAACGGCAAATCATGATAAACGGTACTGAGGGTATCAATTATGGCGGTTCAACCAGTCGATATTTAATTCCATCGTGCGTCGTACTCAGGCTTCCCTACTACGCAATCTCCAACGCACTGTGGTTTTAGCTGGGAAATTCCGTCAGTTCTCTACGCCATGCGATTTGGAGCCCGACGCATTTTGGGCCATGGAGCCCAGTTGGACAGTCCTTCTAATGTGCATTACACGAGTGAGGAGGCCTGGCCTCCACCACAAGACATTCTCTCCGTGGATAATTCAGTGCATATAATCAATTCCACTGACTCGCCTATTGTGCTGAAAAGTGAGGAACAGCTTTGCCAAATCAGACACGTTAACAGTTCTTCTATAAAGTCGTATCATACGACCCCCTACCTACCACCATCGTGCGTAATACGCCTTGTACCAATGCAAAGCCTTTTTCACACGATGTCGTCGTTGATCCCGACTCCTGTTAAGACACAACCACCCGCCAACCAACTCGCTCCACCCAAAGTTTGATGATGTTTTCAACCCCTCCAGTTCCAAGTATAACGGCGTGAGTGGACCTATCGATGCTGTGGTGAATAAGAGTCCAACTCTTCCACCTCAGCGCAAAGGGAGATTTCCCCAGTACAACAGGGGCACCATGGAGGAGTTACAGGCGAAGTTTAATGACCTGGAGGCAATGGGTGTCTTTGCTAGATCTGAGCAGGTCGATGTGCAGGTTGAATATCCCAACGTTGGTGGTGTTTTGCGTGGAATAGGTAAATGGAACTATTTGATCATCACTGATATAGCTAAGGCCTTTTACCAAATACCGTTGGCAACTTCATCCATGAGGTACTGCGGCGACGCTACTCCATTCAAGGCCATACGTGTGTACACTTGTTCCGCCATGGGCATGCCCGGATCTGAAACCTGCCGCAAAGAGCTAATGTCAAGGATCCTTGGTGATCTTATCTAGGAAGGTTTTGTTGCCAACATCGCTGACGACTTGTGCATTGGTGGTCAGACTAATGAGGAGATTCTTCTCAATTGGCGACGTGTCCTTCTCTTACAGCAGAAGAATAATCTTCGTTTGTCAGCGTCCAAGACTGTAGTTTGCCCGAAAAGTGCGGTCGTCCTCGCCTGGATTTGGTCACATGGCGCTCTACAGTCTAGCCAACGAAAAACTGGCTGCGTTATCAGTTACCGACCCCCTGCTACCGTACAGGGCCTTTTCATTTATTCGCGCATACAAAGAACTCAGCCGCGTGCTACCCAGATATGATGACCTCCTCGACCCGTTAGATCAGGCTACAGCAGGAAAAGAATCGAGGGAGAAAGCAGTATGGTCAGATGACCTCATTAACTCTTTCAACTGCGCTAAAATGCCTTGGGCAGTAACAAAACTACCTCATCCTGGTGACTACGGATCGTGACTGACAGCTCTGTCAAAAGCAGAGGAATAGGAGCCACTATCTACATCCTCAGAGACGGCAAACTCCTATTGGCCGGCTTCTTCAATGCTAAATTACGGAAGCATCAAGTATTATGGCTACCCTGAGAGATAGAGGCATTGGGCATTGGAGCTGCCATAAAACATTGTTCTCCCTACATCATCCAAGCCTCGGGTACTACTCAGGTTCTGAAGGACAGCAGACCGTGTGTCCAGGCTTATGAAAAACTACAGCGTGGCGAGCTCTCTGCAAGTTCGAGGGTAACTTCCTTCCTATCGATCGTCAGTCGTTATTCTATACACGTTCGCCATATCGCGGGAATTGCCAATCTCCCATCTGAATCTGCCAGCAGGAATTCAATCGAATGTCTCTACTCTTCATGTTAGGTTTGCAAGTGTATAGCGGAAATTGAAGATTCTGCCGTCCGCGATGTATCCGTGAACGATTTTCATGAACAGACAGTCAACATGTCATTTACCAGCCGCGCTGTATGGCTAGCAACACAACTTGAGTGTCACGGTACTCGTCCTTCTAACAAGGCCACCAAGATCCCCGATGTCAGCGCTACCTCAATGACGTTGTTATAGCTGCCGACGGCATGCTTGTCGTTAGAGACTCTCAACCGTTCCAACCTAAACGTGAGTATATCGTTGTTCCACACACCACAATTGATGGGTTATTGACAGCCTTACATATCCGCTTCAGCCATCCGCCCAAGTATCAGACCAAGCGCCTTTTCAAGTACCTCTTTGCCCTCGACGTTGACAAGGCCAATACATCCATGTCTTCTTCGTCCCATTTCTGCAAGTCTGTAAAGTCTTTTCCAAAACACTTTCAGTCTCAGTCTTCCGTTGAGTCACCCACCGCAATCGGAGTGATATTTGCTGCTGACGTGATGCGTCGTTACCGTCAATACGTCATAATTTTGAGAGAAACTGTTTTGTAATATTTATTTTCTCATCCTCACAAAACGTTGATAATAAATCTTAAGCAAAAACCAATGTTTACTATATACTTACCTATCAAAAAGACATTTCGGGAGTCTCTACGCCGTAACGCAATTATTATCGTAGGACGAATCGTCGTGTCATTTTTTCAACCTTCAGCATCTTTAATCTCGTTGTCGTTGTTCGCACACAGTATATGTGGTCATTGTCAAGTCTGCCTGCCAAGGGGGTTATTGTTTTCAAATATAAGCTATTATATTTCTAATATATATATATTAATATGTAATGTAATTGTTTTGTGTTTTGTCAGTGTTTCGATAAGGGAGCGGATTGTTCCAAAAAATTGACATCATACGTACTGTCTACACCGTTAGAGTTACTAACTCGCCCCATATATATATATATATATATACATGTATGATAAAAAAGGATTAAATGTCCATGTGAAGAAAGTAAATATAGAAAACATAAACGACCGCCTAAAAAACTACCTGCTTCCATCCTTCACAGGGCTCTTTAGGTTTATTTTAAGAGCCATGTGAAGGGTAAAAGCAGGTAGCTGTTTAGTCGGTCGTTAAATCTTATATTTGTCTATCTATAAAAGTTTATATTAAATACATTATATTACTTATGCATATTAGTTAAATTGTCGCTCTACAATTCCATGCATAAATGCTCGCACTTATCCGCGTTAAAACACAAACCTTTTTGGTTTTTAAAATGTTCACAATAATTTCGAAATATAATTATATAATGTTTTCTTTGGATGGAGTATGTCAAATCTAAATATCTGTATATCTTATTATCGAAGAAAAAGGGAATAGGTAGATATAGTTTACTAGGTCTTTGAGGGTAACTTGTTTAGGAAATATAGACTATTTTGGCAATCCTTCATCTTATACTCTCTGTTAAATAATCATTTATTGACAAATATTTACATCTCTCTCTTCGTCAGCTTGGACAACTCTGACTGCGTAAAAATAAGCGTACACGCAATGACAAAAGGCTCGATGAATTGATACCTGTTTCGAATGTGGCGCCTGTTACGCTTCATTGAGATAACTGATCGATGACAACCATTGTTTGGTTACTTTAACATCTAGAAACATGGAGCATATTTGGGATCCATTATGTCTGATTAAATAATAAAGGGGTTCGGGCAAACTCAATACGAGTACATTATGACCGTTATAAATGAATAAAAATGTTCGACGTGCTACTGATATCGTTTAATTAAAAATGTAAAAGCGACGAAAAGAAGAAAAATGGTGTTGTTGACGGCGTATTTTCTAAATTTACCCATATATGGATGTAGATTCCCTGAAACTATATCATCCTAGCAACAACGACTACCGTAGTTACCATCGTAGCAACCCATTGTTACTGTTTGTCTATTTGTTTAGCATTTACATATTATTTATGAGGTAAATATAACGATTGACTTTTATTTTGACGGCGTATACGGTAGTATGAACGCATGTGGCATGGAAACATAGGGCGCTAATTTAATACAAAATGAAGATCAATCCTTACATATACCTTCGATCACGTTAATTATGACTATATTGTTAATGTAAAATATAACAATGAACTAAAACATAGTCACCAAAGAAATTACTTGTAAATGTATTTGTTATAGCCATGCACAGAGTGTTGGTGCTGCTTACTTTGGTGCTGGCACAGGATCGATCTGGATGGATAATGTCAGATGTGACGGCTCGGAACAAAGTCTTGAGGAGTGTCAGTTTGATGGTTGGGGAACTCATAACTGTGACCATAGTGAAGATGCAGGCGTGATATGTTTCACAGGAAATCTGGGTAACTTGTATTATAATAATTTACTTTCTCTTTGACAACACGTGAAAATGAATTAATGACTTGAATATATTTAGTTAAAATTAAGGAATAGATGAAGGTAAAGTGGTAAATATATTTTCAGACATAATCTGTAGGCTGGTTACAATAGGGAGGGAGTCATTAGGCTGACATTGAAAATATATTTCCTCCTTTCACACTATTGTGAAAAATTCAAGTTGTCTCTTCAATTTGATCACAAGTTTAGAATTTGTCACGTTGGCATTAGTTAGGAAATGTATATATATTAGCGCTTTCATTATCTTTTTCCTGACGCTTGTGTTGTTTATGTACATGAACACTCAATATGTTGTAAATGGACACTTAATGTGATGTTTATGTTCACGGACCCTGAATGTATTGCTTATGTACACAGAACCTTAATTTGTTGTTTTTTACATGTACCCATACTGTGTTGTTTTGGTACATGAACCCTTAATGTATTGTTTGTGTACACGGACCCTTTATGTGTTGTTTATGAGCACTGACCCTTGATCTGTAATTTGTTTACAGTTACCCTTAATGTGCTGTTTATGTACATGGACCCTTTATGTGTTTCTTATGTACAAGGACCCTTAATGTTTTGTTTTTGTACTTGTACCCTTAATGTGTTGTTTTTTGAGCATGGACCCTTAATGTGGTGTGTATGTACACGGACCCTGAATGTAGTGTGTATGAACACTGACCCTTAATGTGTTGCTTATTTACACGGACCCTGAATGTGTGGTGTATGTACACGGATCCTTAATGTGTGGTGTATGTACACGGATCCTTAATGTGTGGTGTATGTACACGGATCCTTAATGTGTGGTGTATGTACACGGACCCTAAATGTGTGGTGTATGTACACGGACCCTAAATGTGTTGTTTATTTACATGTACTCTTAATGTGTTGTTTATGTACATAGACCCTGCATGTGTTGTGCTTGCACATGTACCCTTAATGTGTTGTGAATGAACACTTACCCTTAATGTTTTGTTTATTTACATGTACCCTTAATGTGTTGTTTATTCACATGGACTCTTAATCTGTTGGTTATATTTATGTACCCTTAATGTTTGGTTTATGTACATGTACCCTTAATGAGTTCTGTATGTACACGGACCCGTAATGTGTTGTTTATTTACATGTAACCTTAATGTGTTGCTTATGTACATGTAATCTGAATGTGTTGTATTTGTACATGTACCCTTAATGTGTTATGTATGTACACTTACTCTTAATTTGTTGTTTATTTACATGTACCCTTAATGTGTTGTTTTTACATGTAACCTTAATGTGTTGTTTTTATATGTACCCTTAATGTGTTGTGTATGTACATGGACCCTTAATGTGTTGTGTTTATACATGTGTTTATACATGTGACCTCAATGTGCTGTTTTATGTACACTTACCCTTAATTCGTTGGTTATGTTCTTGTACCCTTAATTTTTAATGTGTTATACATGGACCCTGAATGTGTTGCTTATGTACATGTAATCTGAATGTGTTGTATTTGTACATGTACCCTTAATGTGTTGTGTATGTACACTTACTCTTAATTTGTTGTTTATTTACATGTACCCTTAATGTGTTGTTTTTACATGTAACCTTAATGTGTTGTTTTTATATGTACCCTTAATGTGTTGTGTATGTACATGGACCCTTAATGTGTTGTGTTTATACATGTGACCTCAATGTGCTGTTTTATGTACACTTACCCTTAATTCGTTGGTTATGTTCTTGTACCCTTAATTTGTTTGTTAATATACATGGACCTTGAATGTGTTGTTTATGTACACGGACCTTGAATGTGTTGTTTATGTTCATGGACCCTGAATGTGTTTTGTATGTTTCTTCAATGTGATATTATTCACATCCATAACATATATATATATATTTTGCAATAGAAGTTTTTCTATTTGATTTTAACACAAACGTATGAAGATTGGACTATAAAATAATGTTGAAGACGTAATAATTTCCAAACGGCGACAATTTCCACTTTTACATTATGCAGTTTTGAAGTAAATGATATACCATACTGATGTAGAAACCACTACCAAAATGTTAATAATACAGCACTCATTTTACCAGATGGTAATATTATCACTGTATTCGAAACTTTTCGAAATAATCAGGTGGACATATTTATCGAATATTCCTTTTGATATTTTAAGTGTACCCAGATTGTTACGTTGATATGGTTTTTAGTCGGTACAGATTTTGACATCCGCCTGAAAGGAGGTTCTGGCCCCCATGTGGGCCGTGTAGAAGTGTACGCAAGTGGTCATTGGGGAACTGTTTGCTACAACGACTGGGACGACAGGGACGCGACTGTAACGTGCAGGATGCTAGGATACAGGTAATACACAACTCCTCACTTTATTTTGTATTCAAAAGATCTTAACAGCATAATAAAAAAAAGAGCAGCATCAGCATGTAACTGCATGGACATTCACCGCCTGCAACACTTCATTAAGAATTGAAATTTCACCCGTGAAAAAATTCGTGCTAAGATTACTGCGTTAACAACTTGATTCTCAACTGCCACGATGTCTCACCTGGGTGAGTTATCGTGCAAATAATATTGGCATGGGTGACAGGTCTTCTCACCTACGCTCCCTATCTCAATTGAAGTATTTTGCGTTGACGCAATTTACCTCGTGCGCCATTGAATATATTATCTCATAAACTAAACAAAATAAAAGGTAAATCCTTATATTTACAATATATTCTTTTAACAATAACACCATTAAAAGAGTCGGATACAATAATTTACCTTGTGTTATCTGCGTTCAAAATTATTTTGACGTGATGTTAAGCCATGCGAAACAGCCTTTCGCAAAAGCCGTTGACAGGCAGCTAAAACCCATCCACTTTCTCCGTGACAACAAAAGAAAAAAGTTTCTCCATTTCAATATTTTTATTCACATATCATATCCATATTTTACTTGATACAGTATTTTCATAATTGTATTAGTAAGTAATGGAATAAATAATAATATATTTGTATGAAATTGAGGTATCGGGAACAATACGCCCCTAATTTCGCCTGTGAGACTTGTGAAGAAGAAACAATGCTCCAAATGCATTCGAAGCACTTCTTAATAAGAAATGTGTTGATAAATTGTGGTAGGGTTGCGAAATCTTGTAGTAGTGAGAAATTGTGGTAGGGTTGCGAAATCGTGTAGCAGTGAGAAATCGTGTAGCAGTGAGAATTCGTGTGGCATTGAGAAATCCTGGTAAGGGTGAGAAATCGTGGCTAAGCAACTTCCCCCGCCAAATTGTTTTTAACACAATACAATCTCGTCCTTGCAACACAATACAATTTAAACTGTTATTAACAATGTATATCCTAAAAGAAGAGAATAAAAAAAATGCCAAGGTAAGATTGGGAATCCATGTGGTATTTTTTTCATTACTAAGTAATTTGCTTTGGATAATCTTTCAAATATATTTAATGCTGATATCTATTTCAGTGCTGGTAATCAAATATATCGGAACATCCGTTATGGCAGGCCAACAGATCCTCAATGGATGTCAGGGGGAGATTGTAACGGGACTGAGGACAGTCTTGCTGATTGTTCGTTTGATGGATGGGGTCAAGGTGGTTCTTGCGGTAACTTCCCAGCTAGTGTTTTCTGTTATAACGTCACAGGTAAGTTAATGTTAATCACAAAAGTTCAGATGTCAATTATATTTTAATGAGGGATGATTTTTCATCACTTTCAACGCATCTGAAGTTTCTCAAAATTGATATTAATGAATGCAGATATATATTTATAACATTTAATGAGAAGGATATTTGCGGAAAGTTTTAGATTTCGACCAAAGGTTAGGTTAAGATCCTAAAAATGTTACAAAATTCTGTAGATTTCAATTTTTATAAATATACCCTCTTTCGCGACATTTTAAAAACCCTTTCATGTTATTAAACGAAGTCATTTATTTGATCAACAATCGTAATATGACTTTACAATTGTTTTTTGTTCATGAGAATATTTAACAAAAAATGCCTCTTGATATGCTGAAGATGACACGAATATGCTGTTATGTGATGAAATGAGCTGAAGTGCTATCTCATTGTTTTTTAATTTAAATATGATTTCTAACAGAAACAGACTTTGACATCCGCCTAAGTGGAGGTTCAGAACCCAATGTGGGCCGTGTAGAAGTGTATTATAGTGGTTACCGGGGAAATGTTTGTGGCTACTACGACTGGGACGACAGGGACGCTAATGTCACATGCAGGATGTTTGGATACAGGTAATGTACCAACATTCATGCTACTGCTGCAATCCCTAAAAGTGCAATCGAATAAAAGAAATAAGATGTTTTCAGAGATATTTATAGACTATATTTATCTTTCAGTGATGGTCATCAAATATATCGGACCACACGTTATGGCCGTCTAACAGATCCTGTATGGATGGCAGGTGTTGACTGTAACGGTACAGAGAACAGTCTAGCTGATTGTTCCTTTGACGGATGGGGTCGAGTTGGTTCTTGCAGTAGTTATCCCGCTAGTGTTTTCTGTTATAACGTCACAGGTAAGTTTATATTTATCACATAAGTTCAGATTTCAAACCTATTTTAATGAGGGATGATTTTTTTTATTATTTTAACTGATCTGAGTTTTCTCAAAATGGATATTAATGAATGCAGATATATCATCTCACAAACGACAACAAACAACAACAAAATGTATACTCGCTTCTTGCATTGTTCAAATATATTACATTAATTGAGAATGACATTTGAAGAAAGTTTAAGATTTCGATCAAAGGCTAGGTTAAGATCCTTAAACTGTTACAGTATTCTTTAAACAAATTTTCATAGAAACAGACTTTGCCATCCGCCTGAGTGGAGGTTCAGAATCCAATGTGGGGCGTATAGAAGTGTATTATAGTGGTTACTGGGGAAGTGTTTGTGGCTACTACGACTGGGATGACAGGGACGCTAATGTCACGTGCAGGATGTTAGGATACAGGTAATGTAACAACATTCATGCTACTGTGGCCATCTTTTGTAGTATTAACATGTCCGGTGAATATTGCAATGCGATAAAAGTAAATATTAAGTTACACGGTATGTTAAATAAATAAAACAAATAATGTACCAACGGTAACACGTTTTCTCCAATAAACCTGATTTGTATTCAGATTACTAAATCTTGTATAAGGCTCTCTGTTGAACTTTAGGTATTTCTCTCCAAAATATCTTATGACTTACCTTTTGTCTGTACTTTTTTAAAGTTCCTAATGACTTTATTCAAGATTCATGGAGACAAATGTCACGCGATTATCGGCTCCGAACAATTTCTGTTTGCAGGTTATATATAATGGATATCAGATTGTTTTACCATTCTGCTCAATTGATATAATACGTATCAAAACAGTCACATACCCTTTTCCTATATTTTAACTATTCATACGTTCGTTGTTGCACCCTTGACGCAAACGGAAGTGCTATGCAAGTGCTACGGAAACGGAACGCAAGTGTTTCGCAAACGGAACGACAGTGTTACGCAAACGGTACGGAAGTGGTACGGATGCCGCTTACAAACGGTCGATACGTTTATGGTGACAATTATAGGTTTACATAAAAAGCAGAAGCATATAAAACAGCTAAAACTAAACGAATATACCCACACGGCATAGAAGGAAACGTCAGTAAACTGTAGGCTACGAGGAGGCACAGTTCGTTTGGATAATGAAATGAGTGTGAAACAAACAGTACTGTCTCGTGATTCATTCAAATAAAGGTCGATCAAATATTGGTAATATTTCCATCACAAAGACCTGTCGTACACTAATAGATCAACGCGGCACACAGCTAATAATAAGTTATGGTCAGAAGTGTTTCCACCTGCTTACCGAGTAATACGACTAATTAATATTGACAGTAAGTAAACTGATTACGGTTTTGTAACGAGAAACGTGATAACTAATAGGCCTATAATTAAAAAAATTATAAAAATGAAAGCATTTCATACTCCTGGGTGAAGTATCTCTATGTCCATTTTTTTCTATCGTCTTAAATACCATACACTTCTAGATTTTTCGTAAGAATTTGGAATACATGCATTGAAGGTTTGAAATTTATAATACCCTGTCCTGTAGGCCTATTCATTTAAGTTCATTCAAACATAAACAGTATTTTGTTAAACATATTTTATTTTAAGCACACTTTATTTTCTCAGGGAATCATTTTTAACCCATTGTTACAAAACAGATTTCTAGCTTATCATTTGATGAAAATAAAGTTATCTTTAAATAATTTTTTTTTTGGATTACTGAAAAATATCCTCATTTTCAACAATCTGATATAGAGAAGTTTGTTACGTAGTAAGGTTGAAATTTAACCTTCCCCGCTGAAAAGAGAACTCATGATATATTATTTTAAAAAAATCTTCTAAGTGAACATTTAAATATCTCTAATAAGGGACATACATTTTTTGCATTTAATTAGGAATTTCAAGCAAAATATTAGTGTACCTTGGTAATTGCACAGTTGTGAAATGAAATTGTGTCTGGGGCTGTCATTTCCTGACCAAGGGACAGCCAAGATATCTTACCTGTAGGTTTTTACTTTGAACTGATTTACCTGTATACAGCCGACCTGGTGGACAGACAATGAGCTTGATAAATTGACAAGGAATTAATTGCCTTGAAATCACACCAGGTGACCTCCAGAATCTAATGTGACCATAGGTGAATGGGTAATGTGTTATCACTGCCTATATTCTCAGGTATAGATATCATACTAAAAGAAAAGTATCTGTCAGCGGGTTGTCATGTTGCTCTAATAAAATGTACAAATGACACTGAAGTTGTTAATATTTTTAACAAGGGACAGGTCATAACCTCATGGCAAGCTGTATGCCTGCTATTTAAGTCACCCCTTAGCCTCTTGTGTGGGGAACACACAGTAGGACAATGGGAGGAAGGTTGTGTATGTCCATGACTATGTAAATTCACCAGATCACATTTAAAAACCGACTTTTTTGCTTTCTTCTTCAGACTATTATGCTAATTGGAATAATTTTTACGTTAGGCCGTTTACAACGATTTTTTGTCAGCACATCGTTTCGACAAGTATATTCAAAAAGCCTTTGTGAACCGTTCGGTTGAAACAGAATAAACGGAAACGATACGCAAGTGATTCGGAAATGGTACGGTAATGGTACTGCAGTGCTACGGAAATGCTACGCAAGTGCTACGCAAACGGTACGCTGAAGAAAGTGGATCAACAACAGCAGTATATCTGTGATGTCAAAATTGTTTAACCGGTTTACTCCGGCTATAAGTATCGATTAATGTACATCAGGCTAACAGTTTCTTGTATATAACCTCCTTTTACATAACTAGCGAGCAGCGAACATTGTTTGGTGAGTTATGTTACGGTGATTGAACCGCGAACGAATTTCTATTACGTTTCAAATATTAAATTACTGTTTTTTTGTAATCTAAGACTTGGCAAGTGATTCGCAACTAACAATTTGATATTTCTATATTTATCTTTCAGTGCTGGTCATCAAATCTATCGGACCACCCGTTATGGCCGTCTTACAGATCCTGTATGGATGGCAGGTGTAGACTGTACCGGTACGGAGGACAGTCTAGCTGATTGTTCCTTTGACGGATGGGGTCAAGTTGGTTCTTGCAGTATATATCCCGCTAATGTTTTCTGTTATAATGTCACAGGTACGTTTATATTAATCACAGAATTTACATGTAAATCCTATTGAAAGCACGGATGATTTTTCAATATTTTCAACGGAACTCAAGTTTCTCAAAATGGATATCAATGAATGAAGATATAACATCTATCAAAATACAAAAAAAAAAAAAACAGCAACGAAATGTCTACTTGCTTCTAGTATTGTTCATATTTACTTATTTCATGTGAAAGTTATTTGGTGGAAGTTTTAGAAAGCGATCAAAGGATAGGTTAAGATCCTAAAACTGTTACAGTACTCTGTCAATTTTTTTTTGCAGAAAAATATCAGTCTGTAAAAATAGATATCACTTTTAATGAAATTACCCTCTTTCGTATCATTTCAGATACGCTTTACTCTGATGAAAAGAAGTTATTCATTTAATCAACAGTTGTAATTTGAATTAAAAACTGGGTTTTTTTTGCACGGGAAAAATTCTCAAAAAATACCTTTTGCAGGCTGAAAATGAAACAGATATACGGTGATGTAATGAAATTAGCTAAATTACGATCTCATTGTTCTCCAATGTATATATAATTTCTAACAGAAACAGATTTTGAGATTCGCCTGAGTGGAGGTCCAGAACCCAATGTCGGCCGTGTAGAAGTGTTCTACAGTGGTTACTGGGGAAGTGTTTGTGGCCTATACGACTGGGACGACAGAGATGCTAGTGTAACGTGCAGGATGTTAGGATACAGGTATACATCGACAGTCATGCTTCTGTAGCCATCCTTTGTAGTTTGAAACACGTCCGGTAATTATTGCAACCAGAATAAAGAAAAACATAAAACTTATTCTTGCCTAGGGGTGTAGGATAGGAAAATTTGAAATCTCCGATTGCGGAAGTTTCCTATCCCACATCCTTATTAATGAAAGCTTTTTTCTCATTCCAACTACCAGAATAACCTCAGAAACCATGAAAATAAGTTTTGACTGGCTACCATTTTGAAAATATCAATTGTTCCCCCCAACTTTTAGACGAATACGACTCTGTCCGTCAGATTATGCATACCCAATATTCGCAAACAAAGTTTACACAGAAACATTATCACATCTTTGTAACGTATACGGTAAAAACATCGTAAAAGGTTTTAATTTCTTTACGTCGCCATTTCCGGATTGTAGAATCGAATATGTCAAATTGGTGACGCCCCTTTCTTTCACTAGACATCTTTATCTTACACACAGGGAAATGAGAGAAATAAAGTTCCACGTTGATTTCATAGTGCTATACCAACTGCAATACGTTTTCTACCAAATACCTGGCTTGTGTTCCCTACATTTTAAGTATTCTTATGTCAAATCAACAACAGCACTATTTGTTCGCATTGTTCAGCCGGTTTTCTCTGGGTAGGAGTATGCATTATTGTACACACGGCTAACAGTTTCTTTCTTGTATGTTACAAAGAACCGCAAACGAATTTGTATTACGTTTCGAATATTAAATTACTTTTTGTTTGTAATTTAAGACTCGTCAAGTGATTCGCACCTACAAATCTGATATTTCTATATTTATCTTTCAGTGCTGGTCATCAAATCTATCGGACCACCCGTTATGGCCGTCTAACATATCCTGTATGGATGGCAGGTGTAGACTGTAAATCCTATTTAAAGCACGGATGATCTTTCAATATTTTCAACGGATCTTAAGTTTCTCAAAATTGATAACAATGAATGAAGATATAACATCTATCAAACTATAAAAGATAAAAACGAAATGTTTATTTGCTTTTAGTATTGTTAATATATATTAATTTTATGTGAAAGTTATTTGATGGAAGTTTTAGAAAGCGATCAAAAGGTAGTTTAAGATTCTAAGACTGTTACAGAACTATGTCAAACTTTTCTGCAGAAAAATATCAGCCTATAAAAATAGATTTCACTTTTTATGAATATACCCTCTTTCGTATCATTTCAAATACGCTTTTAATTTAATGAAAAGAAGTCAGTTATTTGATCAACAGTTGTAATTTGAAATAAAACTTTTTTTTTTCTGGGAACATTTTCAAAAAATACCTTTTTGCAGGCTGAAAATGATAAAGTTATACGGTGATGTGATGAAATTAGCTAAATAACGATCTCATTGTTCTCCAATGTAAATATAATTTCTAACAGAAACAGATTTTGAGATTCGTCTGAGTGGAGGTCCAGAACCCAATATCGGTCGTGTTGAGGTGTACCACAGTGGTAGCTGGGGAACCATTTGTGGACTACACGACTGGGACGACAGAGATGCTAGTGTAACGTGCAAGATGTTAGGATACAGGTAATACATCAACATTCATGCTACTGCAGCCATCCTTTGTAGTTTGAAACACGTCCGGTAATTATTGCAATCAGAATAAAGAAAAACATAAAACCCATTCTTGCCTAGGGGTGTAGGATAGGAAAATTTGAAATCTCCGATTGTGGAAGTTTCCTATCCCTCATCCTTATTCATGAAAGCATTTCTCTCATTCCAACTACCAGAATAAATTAAGAAACCATGAAAATAAGTTTTGACTGGCTACCATTTTGAAAATATCAATTGTTCCCCCCAACTTTTAGACGAATACGACTCTGTCCGTCAGATTATGCATACCCAATATTCGCAAACAAAGTTTACATAGAAAACATTTTCACATCTTTGTAACGTATACGGTAAATACCTCGTAAAAGGTTTTAATTTCATTACGTCGCCATTTCCTGATTGAAGAATCGAATATTTCAAATTGGTGACGCCCCTTTCTTTCACAAGACATCTTTATCTTACACACATGGAAACGGGAAAAATTAAGTTCCACGTTCCACGTTAATGTCAAAGTGCTATACCAACTGCAAAACGTTTTCTTCCAAATACTTGGCTAGTGTTCCCTAAATTTTAGTTTTCTTATGTTAAACCAACAACAGCACTATTTGTGATGTTCGCATTGTTCAGCTGGTTTTCCCTGGGTAGTAGTATGTATACATGTACATACTGCTTACAGTTTCTTTCTTGTATGTTACCGTGTTTTGCAATATAAAAAATCAACGAACATTGCTTGGTGGCGTATGGTACGGGGGACTATACAATATACAGACGTGTTAACAAAGTACCGCAAACGAATTTGTATTACGTTACGAATAAAATTACTGTTTGTTTGTAATTTAAGACTCGTCAAGTGATTCGTACCTAAAAATCTGATATTTCTATATTTATCTTTCAGTGCTGGTCATAAAATATATCGGACCACCCGTTATGGCCGTCTTACAGATCCTGTATGGATGGCAGGTGTAGACTGTACCGGTACGGAGGACAGTCTAGCTGATTGTTCCTTTGACGGATGGGGTCAAGTTGGTTCTTGCAGTAGTTACCCCGCTAGTGTTTTCTGTTATAATGTCACAGGTACGTTTATATTAATCACAGAATTTACATGTAAATCCTATTGAAAGCACGGATGATTTTTCAATATTTTCAACGGAACTCAAGTTTCTCAAAATGGATATCAATGAATGAAGATATAACATCTATCAAAATACAAAAAAAACCAACAGCAACGAAATGTTTACTTGCTTCTAGTATTGTTCATATTTACTTATTTCATGTGAAAGTTATTTGGTGGAAGTTTTAGAAAGCGATCAAAGGATAGGTTAAGATCCTAAAACTGTTACAGTACTCTGTCAATTTTTTTTTGCAGAAAAATATCAGTCTGTAAAAATAGATATCACTTTTAATGAAATTACCCTCTTTCGTATCATTTCAGATACGCTTTACTCTGATGAAAAGAAGTTATTCATTTAATCAACAGTTGTAATTTGAATTAAAAACTGGGTTTTTTTTTCACGGGAAAAATTCTCAAAAAATACCTTTTGCAGGCTGAAAATGAAACAGATATACGGTGATGTGATGAAATTAGCTAAATTACGATCTCATTGTTCTCCAATGTATATATAATTTCTAACAGAAACAGATTTTGAGATTCGCCTGAGTGGAGGTCCAGAACCCAATGTCGGCCGTGTAGAAGTGTTCTACAGTGGTTACTGGGGAAATGTTTGTGGCCTATACGACTGGGACGACAGAGATGCTAGTGTAACGTGCAGGATGTTAGGATACAGGTATACATCGACAGTCATGCAAAGGTAGCCATCCTTTGTAGTTTGAAACACGTCCGGTAATTATTGCAACCAGAATAAAGAAAAACATAAAACTTATTCTTGCCTAGGGGTGTAGGATAGGAAAATTTGAAATCTCCGATTGCGGAAGTTTCCTATCCCACATCCTTATTAATGAAAGCTTTTTTCTCATTCCAACTACCAGAATAACCTCAGAAACCATGAAAATAAGTTTTGACTGGCTACCATTTTGAAAATATCAATTGTTCCCCCCAACTTTTAGACGAATACGACTCTGTCAGTCAGATTATGCATACCCAATATTCGAAAACAAAGTTTACACAGAAACATTATCACATCTTTGTAACGTATACGGTAAAAACATCGTAAAAGGTTTTAATTTCTTTACGTCGCCATTTCCGGATTGTAGAATCGAATATGTCAAATTGGTGACGCCCCTTTCTTTCACTAGACATCTTTATCTTACACACAGGGAAATGAGAGAAATAAAGTTCCACGTTGATTTCATAGTGCTATACCAACTGCAATACGTTTTCTACCAAATACCTGGCTTGTGTTCCCTACATTTTAAGTATTCTTATGTCAAATCAACAACAGCACTATTTGTTCGCATTGTTCAGCCGGTTTTCTCTGGGTAGGAGTATGCATTATTGTACACACGGCTAACAGTTTCTTTCTTGTATGTTACAAAGAACCGCAAACGAATTTGTATTACGTTTCGAATATTAAATTACTTTTTGTTTGTAATTTAAGACTCGTCAAGTGATTCGCACCTACAAATCTGATATTTCTATATTTATCTTTCAGTGCTGGTCATCAAATCTATCGGACCATCCGTTATGGCCGTCTTACAGATCCTGTATGGATGGCAGGTGTAGACTGTACCGGTACGGAGGACAGTCTAGCTGATTGTTCCTTTGACGGATGGGGTCAAATTGGTTCTTGCAGTAGTTACCCCGCTAGTGTTTTCTGTTATAATGTCACAGGTACGTTTATATTAATAACAGACTTTACATGTAAATCCTATTTAAAGCATGGATGATTTTTCAATATTTTCAACGGATCTTAAGTTTCTCAAAATGGATAACAATGAATGAAGATATAACATCTATCAAACTATAAAAGATAAAAACGAAATGTTTATTTGCTTTTAGTATTGTTAATATATATTAATTTTATGTGAAAGTTATTTGATGGAAGTTTTAGAAAGCGATCAAAAGGTAGTTTAAGATTCTAAGACTGTTACAGAACTATGTCAAACTTTTCTGCAGAAAAATATCAGCCTATAAAAATAGATTTCACTTTTTATGAATATACCCTCTTTCGTATCATTTCAAATACGCTTTTAATTTAATGACAAGAAGTCAGTTATTTGATCAACAGTTGTAATTTGAAATAAAACTTTTTTTTCTGGGAACATTTTCAAAAAATACCTTTTTGCAGGCTGAAAATGATAAAGTTATACGGTGATGTGATGAAATTAGCTAAATAACGATCTCATTGTTCTCCAATGTAAATATAATTTCTAACAGAAACAGATTTTGAGATTCGTCTGAGTGGAGGTCCAGAACCCAATATCGGTCGTGTTGAGGTGTACCACAGTGGTAGCTGGGGAACCATTTGTGGCCTACACGACTGGGACGACAGAGATGCTAGTGTAACGTGCAAGATGTTAGGATACAGGTATACATCGACAGTCATGCAAACGTAGCCATCCTTTGTAGTTTGAAACACGTCCGGTAATTATTGCAACCAGAATAAAGAAAAACATAAAACTTATTCTTGCCTAGGGGTGTAGGATAGGAAAATTTGAAATCTCCGATTGCGGAAGTTTCCTATCCCACATCCTTATTAATGAAAGCTTTTTTCTCATTCCAACTACCAGAATAACCTCAGAAACCATGAAAACAAGTTTTGACTGGCTACCATTTTGAAAATATCAATTGTTCCCCCCAGCTTTTTAGACGAAAACGAATCTGTCAGTCAGATTATGCATACCCAATATTCGCAAACAAAGTTTACGCAGAAACATTATCAAATCTTTGTAACGTGTACTGTAAAAGGTGCCAATTCCATTACGACGCAATTTCCGGATTGTAGAATCGAATATTTCAAATTGGTGACCCCCCTGTCTTTCACTAGACATCTTTATCTTACACACAGGGAAATGAGAGAAATTAAGTTCCACATTGATGTCATAGTGCTATACCAACTGCAAAAAGTTTTTTTTACCAAATACCTGGCTAGTGTTCCCTACATGTTAAGTATTCTTATGTTAAATCAACAACAGCACTATTTGTTCCCCATTGTTTAGCCGGTTTTCTCTGGGTACCACAAACAAATTTGTATTACGTTATGAATATTATATTACTTTTTGTTTGTAATTTAAGACTCGTCAAGTGATTTGCACCTAACAATCTGATATTTCTATATTTATCTTTCAGTGCTGGTCATCAAATATATCACACCACCCGTTATGGCAGTCTTACAGATCCTGTATGGATGTCAGGTGTAGACTGTTACGGTACGGAGGACAGTCTAGCTGATTGTTCCTTTGACGGATTGGGTCAAGTTGGTTCTTGCAGTAGTTACCCCGCTAGTGTTTTCTGTTATAACGTCACAGGTATGCGGAAATTCGACAGCGAGTGGAACAATTCACGTCGACTGACACAACAAGATAATACAACTGCTATTTTCTTTCATTGTGTAAAGGGGGAAATAAATTTGTGTTTTCACTTGAAAATGACTTCATTTCTAGCTCATCATATCTCCACCATATACTATGGAAGTCACGTTTATTTGATGTGACATAACAATGGCTGTTCTGTTTAAACCTCCTTTGCCAATTTATTCCTCCGTCGTTTCTAACATATATAAATACAATTTTCTTGCACTTTCAGTTGACTCTACAATAGATGTTCGTCTGGTAGATGGACCGAACAATTACACCGGCCGAGTTGAGGTGTACTACAGTGGATATTGGGGAGGTGTTTGTTCTCACACTTTTGATTTTGATGATAAAGACGCCGAAGTCGCATGTAGGATGCTTCAATATAGGTAAACGGTATAACAAAAATCAATTCATAATCACTGTAATCAGATAATCAATTTTTCCTCTTAAATCGATTTCAATAATAAAGAAAAAAACAAAAAGTAATAAACAGAACATCTAAACATGAAACGTTAATGTTCCTTTAATATAATGACTGAAATACGTTGTACGTGTAAGTAAGTACTTATTTGTGAAACTTGTTTTAGATACAGAAAGTCTGACAAAGTACACATTTCATATAATGCCATGTCTTAAATTTACTGAATGAAGATTTAATGGAAGAAAAATCTATATTGAAGAGTTCGTAATGAAATGTAGAATACACTAAACAGCAAAGGTGCCGGAAAACTTTTCATGATGAAACGAAATTACAAATTGTAGCTAAAGTAGTTTTTCATTTTAATCATGCCAAAAAATATCCAAGCTACAAGGCTTCAGCCATCATCGATGACTGATAGTCCAACAACTGAGTCAGAAGTCAAAAAAAAAGAAAACAAATACATATAAAAGTACACAGTTTACTGCACCATATACCATTTCATCAATTTATGTTAATGTTTAGCTTTTGTGTTTCAGTGATGGTCGGGCATTGTCAGCAGCGTACGTAGTTCCTAATGAACCGATATGGATGAACAATGTACAATGTGACGGTACAGAGTCCAGTCTGGCTGACTGTCCATTTGACGGTTGGGGAAATGTTGACTCCTGTAGTTATCAAGCTCAAGTCACGTGCTACAACGAAGCAGGTAGCTCTAAATATGTTTTTATTATTTTAATCGCGTATTAATTTTCAAAAATATACCATAACACTCTAAATGAATTATATTTCCATATCCATCAATTATGAATATCAATATATAAAAACAAAATAAAAAATTCTTTATAATTAATGAGACTATAACAAAACATCTTTAATCGTTTTTTGATGTACTGCTATTAAACCTTTTTTTTTTTTTTTTTTTTTTTACTTTTTACCTAAATAAGAGAAATTAATTGTTGTAAATACGATTGAATCGATATTTGTGAAATCTGTTTTGTATATTTCATCAATAAGTTATTGTTTTGACATTTTATTTTATCGATTATATCTTTTTGTAAAACGTATCGTTGACACCTTATTCACATATCTTGCATTTGTTACATAATAATTATTCGTTTTTTTGTTTTTTTAAAAACATATTATATATTTAATATTGACCTGTAAATGAGAGCTAAATTGATCTCCTATGTATAGAATATATTGTATATTTGTTTTAAACATTGTTTTGAAACAGATTATGTGATTATGTCATTACTTATTTCGTAGGGTTTTGTGTCGTTTGTTTATTTACTTTACTGTTTACAGGGTGTGTCCTGTTGTCCGTGTTGTACTTTATATCCGTTTACGTCCATTTGTAACGTTCATGTGAGTCCAGTAATCATAGTGTGTCTATATTTGTCTTGACCTGTTTGTCCATTTGTTGTCCAGAAAGTGTCCGAGTGTGATATGTACGCATGTGAGCTATGACGTAAAAGAAGCTTGTATGAATGAGTATAAGTGTGTTAGGACGGCGTGGCTCGTTTACTATCAAGGAAGGCGGTAAGTAGTTCCAATGGGACACTAATCAGTCGTATATTCCTTGATGACGTCATATTTCCCGCCAACGTTTGACGATGTCTAGTCAGAGGTAATTATCTGTAAATGAAAAACATGAAATTATATTTTATCGTGAATTATACGTTTGGTTATTTTATACCGTATTGCATTTATATAACCTTACATCTACCTTCAGATTATTTTTATTGTTAAGATTTCCATATTCAGTTCACTCAAATAGATGCATTAAACTAATTTGAATTCATATTGGTTATTACTTATAAGTGTTTAATTATTTTCAATATCATATTATATTTTCAATACCACATCTTTCTTGAATGATAATAATTTGTATTTATGTAGAAATACGTTCATGTTTTATTACCATCACACGAAGACGATGTATATTTTGACACCATAGGTATTAATTGCTTTCGTGAAAAAAAAATCTGCATGTAACGTCAATAAAAATCTAGCAATATTGAGAAACAAAAACAATCACTGACAACTTGTTGGTCGTAATTATCTATATATTTATGTTCAACTGCGAAACAGCAGTACAATTCATACTGTATCATCGATATTAAAATAAATATTAAATTTATTGAACATTTTATCAAACGCTAATTCCTTTATTTTGTTTAATTTTGTAACCCAGTTTGTTTCAGGAGAGATGCCTGGGACTCCACCGGACAGCCAACACCTATCTTAATTGTATGTCACAACTTAAATGTAGTCACTGCATGCTGTCACTCGTGGTTTCAGCCAAAACAGCGACTGTATTATTTGGCTTATGTTAACAAAAACAATCTTTAGAAGTGACACCAAATTTATGTTTCGGACAGTTAACTTAAAGTAAATGTCCTGTTTTGATTGGGTTGTTTATGTAGTGATTAGTCGTTATAAGCAACGTGATGATTTTAGCTCACCTGCCCGAAAGGCAAGTCAGATGGTGCCATGGCGCAACGTTCGTCGCCAGCAACTTTTCCTTTCAACAATTTCTTCTAGATTCATGACATTTAGCATGTAACGTCCTGGCTGAGAGCCTGACTAAGGTGGCGAATAAACATGACCTTGGCGTTCTTTCAAGGTCACAAGTGTTAAATAGGTCAAAAACTTCGTACGGTTTTAACTGAAGAATAAAAAAACCTACTTACTTGCAAATTCAAATATGTAAAACGTCAAACGAGTTCTTCTGAAGAATTGAAAGGTCTAGAGTCATAATACAAGGCTGGGAACATCCTGGTAAGGAGCCCAAAAAATTCTTTTAAAAATACTGATAACAAAAATTACCGAATTACTTTCAAGAACACAAAGGTAAAAAAACACCTCAATTGATTTCTTTTCAAGAGCTGAAAGGTCTGCAGTCATGAAATTAGGCTGGCAGCGTCTTTGGATTGATCCTTACTTTTAACTGTCGTTGAAAGTCAGCGTATCACAGCATGTGAAGGTCTTCCAAGCAGCTTTATAAAGCGTTAAGTTATACAATTCTTTTAAGAAACATCATATGAAACTTAACCATATAATAGCCTATTTGATAAAGCCAATGCATTTCAACTGGCCACTATTTCAAGGTCAACGGTGTGATATGAATAACAGGTGAGCGATACAGGAATCTTGTTACTTAACGGATTTGAAATTGGCAGAATTTTAATAAATCAAATACGTTTTTTTCTTTTTATAAATCAAATACGTTTTTTTCTTTTTCGATATCTCATTTTATAAATACTTCAATACTGAACCGAACAACCCAATCACGACACAGATATTTATTCATTCAAAAATTCGGGTCCCGAGTAGAACCACGTCCACGTCGTGGGACCTGGAAACATATCTATTGATATGGCGAAGAGTTCTAATTTTGTACTCAGTTTGTTTTCCCCATTCTTTTTCAGGTGTCGTCATTGACATAATTTTGAGTTCGAATATTAATTTTTGTTCCAACTTCATTTTCAAATAAACTATATTTATTTTACAATAATTATGAAAAAATATCTTCAGCAGATATAATTCACTGTTGTTGGCCCAGATGTTAGTGCACAAAGGTCTTAGTTTTGACAACAAACTGGAGTACCCGGAGAACACCCACCCGGTCGGTGAATCAAATACCTGCCATCTTGGTGAGAAGCGAGTACACTATCCACTGTGCCATTCAAATTGCCTACTTTGGTATAATTTATTTAACAGTATGGTTGCAATGTTTTAGAATATAGTTTTATGTTTCACTTATTGCATCATTTAAACAATTTCGTCCGTATACATGAACAAAATAATTCCATTACTAAGATTCAATGATTGTCTCCTGTTAAAAATACATTAAAATTCTTTACAAATACTGGTCCTTGTTTTTCTTCTTTATTGTTATTTACTTGTAAAATGTTAGTGTACTGACAAATGGGCAGATAGCCTCGAAAGATGCTATCTTCACTACCTCTTTAACTTTGTTGCTTTCTTTTTGTATCCATTAAATATGATTTCTTTTTACATCTGTTTTTCGAACGTATATCAATCATTCTATGTGGTCCGCGCAGAGGGTTTTACTGTGGGAGGAAATTGTATTTGTATTCTTATCATTCAAAAATAGCAAAAAAACAAAATATCAAGTCATGGTCGATCTAAGGGAGACAACAAAGGGAAATCAGGGGACACCAAAGCAACCGAAAACAAAAAAAGTGAAGCTCTGCACCACATAATACACTGATATAAGTGGATAGGGCATTCACCTTTCACTAAGATGACCGGGGTGCGACTGGTATTGGGTCACCACGTGTTTTTTCTTCTTTGTTCACGTTTTTGCTCCCACACTATGACTATCTGCGCTGCCATGTAGGCCATCAAGAGCGATAAGTGTAAGTTAAAAACAGTTATTTCATGATTGTTGTCAAAAAAATATAGTTTATATCTTTCAACACCCTTATACATCAGCAGCCGACCAAGACAGCGATAACCGTAATAATGTTATCCTCTGAGAAGTTTAAAAAAAACTGCCTTAAGCTTTAATTCCTATATGTATGTTTTCTGAGGTGTAAACAGAAAAAAGTTTTCCCCTTGTAAATTTCTTTCATAATACTGAACATTTAAGACTTGGACAGCAAGATTCGATTCGCTACAGTTTCAATGCTGATACCTTGACACTTACGATGACTTTAATGTCAAAAAGTAAACTTTATGCATTGATTACAGTGCAATAATAAAACAAAATAAAATGTATTCGCATTATTCAAAATGGCTGGTTAATTTGCTTTTTACAAATCTTGTCAAATTAATTCAGCAATTTTAGGAACCTAGTTTTATGACACACTTTCAGATGAGTGTTTGCTTTTACATTTGACCACTATTTGTTTAATGGTATTGAAACCAGTTATATGAGATCAAAACGAGATTTTAACGTGAATTGAACTATAGGAGAGTAGATCATAATGTTGTCAACATTGTACCATACGTACACGTTATGTCAATATGACATCCGTGCCATTTCTACTATGGTTGTTATCAAATATTGCATTTGTTTATGTTTGCGGAAAGAGTTTAAATTTCTATATAATTATATTAAAGTCCTAAAGCCAATGCCAACGTGCATGATGTTCTGTTAATAAAACATGTCGCAATACAAAAGTTATAACAGTTGAACCAAAATAGATGAGAGTTTCTACTTTTCTAGTCACTGTTACGTTTATCTGTAAATGATCATGGTAAACCTGCGGATAACAACCTAATACTGCATGTGCAATTTCTGTTTGTGTGCATAAAAAGAACAACATAACAGTCTGCTGTTTACTGCAATATCATTATAAATTAGTATGATGCAGTGATTTTAGATAAGATACCATTACATGTAAAAACTGCGTATCATAACAGTCCAATTATAGTCATCGCTATCAGTGTTGTGAAAAGCATGAATGTCATTAGTTGGATTAGCGTAACATGGTGGTGTTTATCGTAGCTAGGCTAGTGTTCTGACATGAACCCCTTTTAAAAAAACGAGACATTCTTCAAGTCATTGTCTGGCTCACAATTTTGACGATTGTCTATTTTAATTTCGAAGTTGTTTGGGAGTTTATTCTTAGGATGCTCACCTAACTCTGTGTATTTCAAACTCTCAACATTAGTCACCGTATCCGCACTACTAATTACCGCATCTGACTTGATGCAAATACTTACTGATGGTGC